ATGGATATTTGAGTTCATTATGACATTTGAAATAATTATGGATGTTATCGAATATTATAACTTTATATTGATTAAATAATTCTACTAAAGACACATCATCATTAAGTCAACAAATCAAGTCAAATTTTTATTTCCTAATAACAGCACCCATTTGAGTTAGTATCACTTCAAATTCGTGTTATATACAAGTCATATTTAATTAAGGTTAACCGCTTATTGTCCGAACACGTTGATGCTCATTCTTCTTGTTAAGTTTGTATTGGGTTGGTGGGTCGTGGTAATAATTGTCAACCTTATTACAGTTAATTCTTGGCATTCTGGCGTTATGAATAGGCATGAGCCTATTGGACATGTGGTTGAAATTATCCTTAATTATTGAAAAAGATGATGATGCCCTTTAAATTCTACCAAATTTTTGCAACACAATTTTTTATTTTTTATTTTTTATTTTTCATCTTATTTCTTTTTTCAGATTTATTGAATTATTACATCTTTGTGAATTGGGACTCTTTTTTTCAACTATTTCATTTGGAAAAACCATACATTTGGGTTATAACAATATGGCGGTTCATTACTAAATAAATAAAAAAATATTAGCAAAATTGGAAAAAAAAAACACGATTTGTAACATTTTGGATTTAAAAAACAAAACATCAAATATATCTGATGGTGCTTGAAATTTATTTACCTAATTACAGAACCGTGAAAGGGTGAGGTCCAGTGGGGGCTAAGTATTAATTAAGATGAGAGGGGGGGGGGGGAATTAACGGTTGAGATCAAAGTAAGGAATGTAGTATGAATGATTCACCTTAGTCGAAAGACTAAGGTTACATTCACGGTAAAAGAAGCTCGAACTCCTTGAGTATTATATTTGCTTAGGGTGGAAGATAGTGATTACAAGAATATTTGGCTGTGAGCCTTTTCAAAGTGTTTTTGAAGTTGCCTTAGATATTCTCTCTATCTCTCGTGTTCTTTTCTTTATGTTGTCCTCTTTTTTTTTACACAGTACTATCGTTTTCAATTTATACATCTAGTTCTTAGGGTTTCCACCAGGCTTAATTTTTTTTTTTTTTGGCTGATTCTGTAGTCCTTTCATTTGTTCTGTAGCTGAACTTGTTATTCTAACATTTTTCGTGTCTTCTAGCCGTGCAGTGGGATGTGTATGGCGTCTCCACTATCGATGAGTATTTGTTCGTTATAGTTGTCGGACATTATCCCCTTGTCCCCTGTTCGCGTGGCGCGAGTGAAGGTTAACTTATATCTGCTCAGTGTCAAGCTCCACACTCTCGAGTAAGCGATTATCACTGAGCTTGTTAGAGCTGATTTGGGTTGGACAATCCTGAGTTTTTCATGGAGTTGGGTTGTGGTCCAACTTGGCTATGAAAGACGCCATCTAGAAAGGCTGCTTGGTTTGTCCTTGATAGGTCCATTAGAGACTTTGGATTCAGACTTAAATCCATCATCAATATCTATGTACGCAATAAAAATATCAACACAAAAAACATGATATAATGAAAAAACACGAATCAAATCAGCACACATTCTCTAAAATACACACATGTGCACACACATTAAGATACGTATCGATAAAGTTACATACAAACACAAATATATACAAAGATAAAAATAATGATATTGACAAAAATACACGTACACAAGAATACACACAATTACAAAATACATATGCAAAACACACACACACACTCATAAAGACACTAAAACACACATTCACAAGGGTCTCTAACTCAAGTGGGCGATTTTGGAATCAAACCTTAATCTAAACTTTTCATTTTAAATTCTCGTTTATTACTACATGATTATTTCCACAACCACCACGACCAGTATGTATCGATGTTATTATCAAGGGAAAAAAATCCCATGGAAAAACACTAATGCATGGGACCACAAAATCTAGATATTAGGGCAATACATTGGCGAGGACCACCACAGGATGTGTTTCACATCCAAGTTAATTGAGTACCCACTCTTTTTTAATATTGATTTGATGTTCGTGGTTAATAAGCAAGCTTGTCGCCTATGATCTTCCCCATTTGTCTTTCTGATTCAAAGCAATTATACTCTCATCCCTCTATGCATTGATTAAGAGTGTGGTGAAGGACCATGTAACGTGTGCATACAAGGTCTACAAATAGTTGTAGACACCGTTAGAATTCCATAGAGAGGGATCAATTTTGTGTTTGTTGTGACTTGCAGATTTTAGAGTTTAAATCTTTTAGATATTGGCTAAAGTTTTGGATTGACTAGATTTAATAGACATACAAATTAAAATTCGTTATTTAAAGTAAAATTAATTACTTATTTTTTATGAAAACCAAAAAAAAAAAAAAAAAAAAACAAAGTTAAATCCAGAAAAGTACATTTTTCCTAATCATGGATTAGGATATAGTCAACAAGGATATAATGAAATCCCAATCCTCAACTGAATGACTCTTATCCCTACAACCAAACATATCTTTAAAAGGACAGGTTCCTCTTGTAATTCACATTACCTTCAGGGGTGTTAAAGTAATTTCGTGACCAGCACAAAAAATATCAAGAGCGGTACTGTCAGATACGATCAGCGATACAATCGTACAAACTACGACAATGGCACGTGACACACTTTATTATCCTCCTCCGCCTTCCCTTCCTCCCTGACAAGTCAATTTTGACACCATCACTGCACGTGACCTGTACCGTATCACATGTCGATTATTTATATCCACCGGTTCACCGGAATACCCGGTTCTCGGAAAATGAATGGGGCTGTGTGTACGTATATACATACACAGGCAACGTATATTTAATGGTTCTTTACGGGAGTATCCAGAAGGTGCGGCTCCGTGGGCGGCTGTTGGGGTGGAGCCTCCACGTGGTGTGTTGTTGACGATGACGTGGCGCCGTGCATGCCTACACTGGTTGGGATACCTTCCTTGAACACCACGCCGACCTCATTTCGGCGCCGTTTACTTCAGCGGTTTCTTCTGGCTTTAATAATCGGCTGACTGAGCGTTTCTCGGTTGGTGTGAAGTCGTTTTCAGATTGACAAATTATAAAGGGAGACGTTTATGATATTAATAATTTTTTAACAATTAGTAGTTATAAATTATTCAAAACAAATATTAATTATTTGAATTTTAAATTTAAATTAGACATTGATATTCAATTCTATTAAAATTTGCTATTGTTGATGTAGTTTTTGAAGGGGCTCCCACACTTGGACCTTGCTAAAAATAAAATTGAATATATTAGATTCCGATAAATAAGTCATAAAAATTAGTAGTTGAATATTAAACGTATCTTTGTACTCGGTCGAGTGCCCCAATTTGTAAAGTTTTGAGGTTATATTATAACAGAATTAAATTAGAGTTTAAGTGCTCATTTGTCTTTTAATTTGATATTATCTATTGTATTTATCCTTATTAGCAGATGAGACTAGACTTAGACTAGACTAAATTTTTAGTTAAATTGAACTGCTCAAGTTGTTGACAGAGTTGGGCGAGCTGAATTGGATTTTTCTACATCAATTTGAGGTCTGTGATTTTGAGTCCTACGAATTGACTTTGGCCTCTCTCTTATCAATTTAAGAGAATAGCGTTTGTTATTCTAATCAAATTGAGTTTTATCTCAATTTTCTAAAATATGTGATTACCATCAATCTTTTATAATTTAGAAGCATTTAACGTGATTGGCATAATTTTAGGTAGTAAAGATAGAAAGAATATTATAAAATTAAGTGGTACTTTGATTAAAATGAGTAAAAAATTGTAATTTAATCAGCTAAAATCTAACTCTAATGGAGTGATTTAGATCAAATTTAGAAAGGCAAGTTTGTAACCCTGAAAATGTGACAATCAACACCATTAATTATGTATTCTTGGAATCCTTTATTGTTATGGAAGAAATTAGCCCATTATTTATTTGGACTATAAATTTTGGTCAAAGTAACATTTAAAATATTTAATTAAATTTAAGTTAAATCCGATAAAAATTTAATTCAAATGTAACGTTTCGACAAACTTTAAGTGGTTGAAAGATGATTTTCGAGCACATTAGGAAGATTTGCGCTGTGATGTCAAATAAATTTTATTTTGATAATATTATTTTGTTTCCAGTAAAGTATTTGATTTGATATAAAAACAAATTAATAATTTTAATTTAAATCTCATTTCACCCCATTTAAATACCATCTATGTGATTTTCAACAATTTTATGTACATAAAATTATTTATAATGATAATTGTGGTTTTAAATTCTTAATTCTGTAGAAAAGTATAGAGCCGTTTACCTAGAAAAAGTCTAAAGCCATCGCCGGAGCGAGGCCTACTAATAAAAGAAAAGGCTCAAGCAGAAGCCACATGTTTCGATTTTCCCCAAAGAAGGTGGGCCCTGAAGAAACGGATTTCAAAGGGAATTTAAATATAGCTAATACACAACAACAGAAGAGACAGGAAATTAGAAAAGCAAAAAGAAAAAGTCGAGATGTCCGTTAAACGTGATGGGATGGACTTCAAGAATCCCGCCAAACACTCGCCTGCCCACCCCATTCCCACTATATATATCTCTCCCCTCATTTCCTCTTTCACCCATCCAACAACTCTAATTTCTACGTTTTCTCTCTATTTACTCTCTCTGCTATTTCCCTCTCTACGATCTCTACCTTAACTTGCTGGTATTTATATTTATCCTCTCCCCTAATTTCTCTCTACCATCTAACACCTTTGTTTTCCCCACCTAAACCATTTTCTCTCTCTAGAGGTTCCTTCGTTGGCATCTGCTTTTCCACTATATAATTGTCCTAAAACCCACCCCACAAAGACAAGTCATCTATTTCCTTTCCCAACTCACTTTTCTTCCTACCCAACTAGACAAACACCATATAAACGTCTCTCACACTCTTTTAACCATCCAAACACCCACCCCTAACTTTTTCCCCTACATTTGTAGTTTCTCTATCCTAGATTCGATTTCTTTTTTCTATCATCCAAACACGGCATAAAATGGAAGAGTGCAACAGCGAAAATAATACCAATAAGCGAGCACGAGACGATTCGCAGTTAGGTCCAGACTCGCCCGAGTCAAAACGTGTTCGGAATGACTCTGAGATTAATTCGTCCGAGTTGAAGCAGCTGGAGGAACTGGAGATTAACTCGGCCGAGTCGACGGATCTGAACTCGGGTGACTCACAGCTGGACTCGACCGAAACGGAACGAGTCAGAAGCGATATTTTGGACATCCTTGACGACGACCCAGACAATGACCCGGAGATTCAAGATTTGGACACGTTCATCAAAAGCTTCGAAGAAGAGATTCTCCACCCTACACCACTACCACCGGCGTCAGAATCTGGAGAGTCTCAGCCGGAGCTGGGGTATCTTCTCGAAGCCTCCGATGACGAGCTGGGTCTGCCGCCGGCGGTGTCTCCCTCCGGCGAACATCCCCAAAACGAAACATCGAGCTCCGAAACCGCTGTGCCTAAAGATGTTGGGTTGGCGAATATGTTGGGATTCGAAGACGGGTTACAAAATTATGACTCGTTCGTGTTCGGAATTGGTGAAGGAACTGAAGGCAACAATGAAAATGGTGAGTTCGTAACTTTGGATGGATTGTTTGATTACGCCGACTTTTCGTGGCAGGCTGAGTCCTTGCCTGCTCTATAGGCTGTACATGTGGTTAGATCCAAAAGGGTATCCGAACGGTATGGGTTGCCGGAGTTTTAGCCGCCGGCCGGTATGTGGGGTGACCCTTTTTGGCAGTGTAGGTTGTAAATTGGAAAAATGATAAAAAGAAAGGAACAGGAAGAAATACAGTAGGAATGTACATGCAAAAAATTGAAGAATGTTTTAATGTTCTTGGTGAATTAGATTCTTCTCTTTTCGTCAATAAGTGAAATTGGATTCCAAACAGTGGATGCCCTCGGAGGAATTGGATTCCTTCATTCTAAGCCTAAGATTGGAGAGAGTTACGAGGTTAATCTGTAAATGATACACTATACACCTTAAATGGCCCCGGAAGTAATAGGAATATATTTTTTAAATGGCCCCGGAAATAATAGGGATATATTTTTTATTGTCGACGAAAAAAAGTATGAGTAATATATTCTTCTTTATTTTTGATCGGATGAATGAAAAATAAAAATAATTAATTTTTTTTTATCTAATATAAGAGATGAAAATTAAGTCGTGTTGTGTCAGATTCTTAGGATGAAAATTGAGTCGTGTCGTGTTAAATTATTGTTGAATTATAAAATTATGAATCTTTTATTTTTTTTGTTTGCGTGTCAGGTTATTTTCAAGTTTATATTGAATTATAATTAAATTTGTGTTATAAAATTTGTGTCCAGTTCGAGTCGTATTGTGATGAGTTAAAAATTTTCAATCCAATTAAGATGAAAAAAATAATTTATTTTTAATTTAAAACTATTATAATTATTTTTATATTTTTTAATATATATATATATATTTTATTATTATATTTTTATATGAAATTAATGTATTTATAATATATAGACAAATAAAATATATTTCAAAATAAATAAATAATTAATTAATTATTTATTTTTTTCTGATTTTAGAGGAATTGATTTTGATGAATTGGAAAAGAAGTTAATCCATCCATTTTTTTTAATCTTTTTATTTTTTCTTCTTAACAAATATAATATTTTATTTATTCGTTCAATTTTTAATTTTTTTAATTTTTTATCATATTATTTTTTCATCCTACCAAATAAAACATTAAAGATTAAAAGATAGGAAGAAGTGCAGTAGCCAGATGGTTGTTTGATGTCAGATCATGGATAGTTTCCGTCTCCTCAAAATATAATTTAAGAGAATTTATTTTTTTACTCAAATTAAGAGAGATTTAAAGAGTAATATTATTTAGATTTAAAAATTTAATCTAATTTGTTGACATAATGATATAATTTTATAAAAATAATTGAATTAACACCAAATTTTAATGTTTGATGGGGTCTATAGTGAATCTAAATGTTACCGTGAATTAGATTAACAAATTATTTCAATAAATTAGATCTCAATAACATTAGTTAAACTTTTTAGACATGACACGCACAAACAAATGATAAAATTGTATTTAAAAATAATTTTTTATTAAAATATAATTTATTTTAGTTATTTTAATCGATTGAATTGTCAAATTGAATATTTAATTCTTGATCAAAACTTTTTAGAGCATAAAAAGTGAGATGTCAAATTTGAAATTTGAAGGTTTAAGTGATATTTTGACAATTGATATTTTCACCACATTATAGTCTAACTGATATGCTAAAATAATTTATTTTATTATATTTTTATCTTTAAATCTCTTTTTTTTAAAAAAAAAAAAAAAATTGTTTGGAAGATTTTGCATTAAACTTCTTTTTACTCAATAAAATAATGTATTTAAAAGATTTGGCATAGCAAAGACAAGATGTTAAATTTGGTATATCGTCAAAATTATTTTTGCCACTTAAGTATTTTGACATTTTCTTTGGAGAAACAACAATTATCAAATATAATCGTTGGGAGCTCTAATTGGTTTTTGAGATCCAATTTAGATTCTGAACAATAGATATTCAATCTAGACTCAATTTGCCTATTCAATTTAAATAGGGGAATCTTATTTTGTACTCCAAAAAACCTAATTGTTCGTTTTGTACTTTCAAAAATAAATTTTTTCATATAACAAATTCAATGTATTATAATTGTTGTGATCTTTCTATTATCTTCAATTGTTTATTCAATCAAAATTCATCCTATTGACACTGACAAATGAATAACAAAAATTAACGAAATGGTCATATTACAATATTTTTAATATGTTGAGGGTATAATATGAAAATCTAATCTTTGATAGTGTAAAATTAAATTTTTAAATCTTTTAGTGTGTAAAATACAGCCAATTTAAATAATATCTCCCAAAGTTATGGTCCATTGGTTATATTGGAATCCAAGTACCATTCCATTAGACTTGCTTATTAATTTATTTTTTGGCACTTCCCATTTTACAAGAGTAATTTTTTTTTTTTGAAGGTATTGAGATTGGAGATCAAATTTTCTATTTTAGTGGTTTATTTATATCTATTATGGAACTATTGCTCAAAATTTATTATTAAGAGATTTTGGACATCATATAGGCTATGGACTTTTTATATGACTAAGAATTATTTTAATCACATATCTTTTATATTTGTGATCATTATATAAGCTCAAAATACACCTAATTACTCACTAAAATTACATGTATTTGTGGCTATGATCAGATATGATTTTTTTTTTTTTTTTGAGACTTTTGATTTTGATAGTGAAAGGTTGAATGCTAAAAGTTAAATTGTTGTGAGAATTTTTTGGAAAGTCTCGACTCTTCAAATGCCTTAGTATTCCATATTTGAATTATTGAATGAAAAAAAAAAACCATTTTCTCCAATTAGATTCCCACATGTTGTTAATATAAACACTTGTTTTATCTTTAACAACATTTTCTTTTAGGATTTTGTTTTCATTTTCTCAACTCATCTTTTCAACCCTCAATGATTCTCTTTTATTTAATTTAACACTAGTAATTAAATTAATGCCTTGGAGGTGGCCGGCGACTCAAATATCAACCCACAAAAGGAACCAGGTTAATGGATGGTTCAACCGTTGAATTACTAGGTTTGATTGTCATATAATGACAAATTAAAACTAAAATATAGACAACAATAATGCTAAAAAAATATAATAAATATAAAAATAATTCATAGTGGAAATAATTTTCCAAACAACATAAAATGATAAGTAAAAAAGAGAATTGACTTGATCAAATAACTCCAGTTACTTGACTAATACTACTGGTGGAAAGTGGGAGGGCGAGATATAGGGGTGGTTATGCTCGGACAATAGAATTATAAGTTTGATTCGTCGCATTGATCGCTTTGTTGATATTGTTTGCTTTTGAATTCAAAAATGTACGATTAACACATCAATTATTTATTTATTCAATACTTGATACATATAATAGGATAATTACAGACATTAGAGTTTTATAATGCCGATCTAGGGCTTAGCTTTTGAAAGGATATATACTTTTGGAAAAATTAGCAGTCAATACAGTACGAGATTTCAGCACACACGCATCTAACTAATATGGGATTTTGTCGTTTCAACCTATTCTATTTTCCACTCAAGATTTTTAGTCTCTCTCGCCCTTGCTTCAGATTGTTCTTTTGCACCATGGGATCCACTATAGGCCTCTTGATTTGATCGAGCTGATCCTGAACTGAATTAGATACATCAGAATCTACCTCTTCAACATAGTAATTAGGTTCCATTACTCTATATCTAGAAATCAAATATAGTTACATAAAATAATATGTCCATGCATAAATGCAACATTCGATCATTAAACACCATAGGACACGACTAAAAACTCATACTCACTCTATCGAGTCACTGACATATTTTCTACGGTCCACTACTAGTACTAGACTTTGACATATCTATAGAATTTATAAACACTAGTTTTGATACAAAAAACTATTACACCCCATCCCAAGAGATCCCCTTGATTTTTCAAAGATGGAAGCGTAACTCAACATGTGGCAATACTTGCGTCAGAATGTAATAAAGCATTTAAAATCAATAATGTCCCCTAATGCCACAAGAAAATAGAAAAAATATATAATAAAGTGCACAACGATCTCGGTTGAACCAAAACAAACTCTTCTATACAATATGTATATAATCAGTTTCCTTAGTTTCCCCTCCATCTCTCTACCATGCTAATCCAATAATGGACCTCACTCTAGACTTCGGCATCCTGAAATCAATAATTTTCTTCAGTGTATCATAATCAAATGAAATATAATAAAAATATGGATCAAATATAATTCCACAAAAAAGATATTCATAACTCACAAATCACAACCAAAGTGAACTCAAATCAAACAACAACATTTCAACAATGTTAAGCTATGTACAACATTTAAGTAATGTCAAGTTATCTCACAATAATTGCACAATGTCAAAATAAACAATATGTAAGTCATGTCAAACTATCAATAACTCGGCAAAATAGATAATACTTAAAACACAAGTTTTTCGTAAATTCATATTTGATCCATAATTTAAGCAACTCAACTTAACACAAATCAAATCGTCAAAATTTCATTTCACATAGTGAAAAATAATTCATAGGTTATATACTTTTATTTCTAATTATTAGAAAGCAGTACATTTCACCTTTACCGCTAATAGATACTCTTCTTTACTTTACAGTCGATTCCTAGATGTTAGCCTCCGACCCTAATAGTTAATACATGGATGAATGCAAATAAGTATCGACTCAAAACTAAATTGATTGATGAAAATGAATGCATATGAATATGCTTCGTGACATTTCATATTCACCACAACTTAACTTCAACACCCAAGTCCGAAGACCAATTGGTTCAGCCAGGTGTTTACGAACCCAATGAGAGTACCTTCTACTATCCCAAATTAGAATGTAAACCCTTTTGCAACGCGACCTATGTTCATTTATGTTTAATTTATAAGGATTATGATATCTCATTTTAAATAGTCAAATCAATCGTTTCTAACCATTTTGCGTTACCACACTCAAAATCATAATTCAGATTCGAAATTCCAAGTCCGAGTTCAAATATCCAATCATATAATTTTAA